GGGGGGGGGGGGGGGCGCAGGCAGAAAGAAGGTGACCAAGTAAATTGCTTTGCTTTTACCCATGACTGGGTAAACTGAGGCATGGCACCAGCATACCAGCAGACTACCACGCAGGACTCTCCCCTCCATTGTGTCTAAGACTGGCCTTTATCGCTGGCATCTTTCCCCCCGACTGTGATCTGCCTGAGGGCAGGGCCTAGAGGCTGTCCACCAGGCTGGGCACGGAGAAAGCCTCAGCGCGAACAGGTTAAGGAGCCAAGAACTACGTTCTGATCTGAGCCAACCGCATCTGGCCGCCCAAGAGGAAACCAGAGCTACCTCCTCCCCCCACCCCAAGAATTGCCAGGTCTTGGGCCAGTGGAATCTTGGACCGGGAGGGTGCAGGGGCCCGAGCCCACATCGGAGAAGTATCACTAAGGGCCTGCATCGGCCTTGCCCCTTCCCTGCTCAACTAAGACCCCTCACTCAGGGTGGGGTCTGGGCGGCAATTAACACTTCTCCGGCGGACGCAAAGCCAAAGAAAGCACCGCATTCAACGCCAGTCCGAAACCGTTCGCGCCGAACAGTCCCCAGAACAGACGGGCGAGAGACTCCCGGCTGGAGTGGACTGTGATGGGAAGGGCTCCGCGGTGAGCGGCCGCCAGAGAGCGGGGAGGGGAGCTCCGGGCAGTGCGGACGCGCGTGCAGACGAGCCCCGCCCCGGGCGCCCTCCCTTCTTCCCCCCTGTGCGCGGGGCTGGGGCACGCCAGGCGGCTGCGGCGCGAACCTGCTCGCGCAAACCGGAGCAGCTCGGGGCAGCCGTGCGTGAAGCCAGAACCCCTGGCCGAGAAGGGGCCAAGGGGCGGGAACGGAGCTGACATCAACCCTCTCCCTTCAAGGAGGGAAGTGCACGCGCGGCGCCCGCGTAGCTGACCCGGGTTCGGGGAGGTGGGGAGAAGACTGAACGCGGACTTAGGGGGCGGGGCAGCATGGGGTTGGGCGGTGCGAACTAAGGGAATAAGGGGAAGGGGGCGTGTTTTCCGGGATTCGGGACCTAGAAGGTGGGGGGTACTCGGGGACGGGCAGATGGCCGGGAGCTCCCGGGAAAGTAAAAAAAGGGGCGCGCGGAGGGCGAGCTCTGCGCTTGGGGCTCCCACGGGTCGGGGAATAATGCAAGGAGGAGAAAAAGACAGAGCTCAGGGATACCAGGGGACGCGGGCAGCGGCGGCTTCTTCAAGACACCGAGGGAGAAGAAGGGACGGGAAGGGGGGTGGGGAGGATGGTACTTCCACCCGCCCCCCTCCAGCCCGGGGGCGTGGCGCCGCCCCGGCCCTCCCACTCCCCCGGACCATCCAGGTTGGGCCTGGCCGGGCCAGACTCGGCCCCCGCACACCTCCCGGGCCTCCGGCGCCGTCCCCCGTTCCACCCGCCCCAACCGCCTCCGGTGGAGAAGGAGTAGGCGCAAGGCCCACACGTCCCTCAAACTTGTTGCAAGTTCACTCCCACGCCTCCCGCCCCTTCGACTCCCAGCTCCGGAGCCGGGAAGGCCCATGCCCGCCCCGGCCCCTCCCGCCTGGTTACATAAGGTCGCAGAGAAGCCGCCCCCGGCCCGGGCCTGCAGTGAGGGGCCGGAGGAGTTCCTGGGCTCGGCGGGCAGCGCCGCTCCGGCCATGTGCCCAACGTCTCGGGCTAGACGGACAGCGGGGCGGGTGGCGGCGCGGCGCGGCGCACACACTCCCTGTCCCCTCTTCAGCCGGCACCCCCATCCACCCACCTGTCTCCCGGACCCACAGAATCAGGGCGGGGGAGCCTGGGTCCGGGGTTCCCAGCCTTCCGCTCACCCTTTGGCCCTCGGTCCCTCTCACCTATCTCTGAAGGTCAATCCGTCCGCCGCCTGTCCCCCGCGGCTCCGGCAACTTGTCCCAAGTTCAGGTGTCCGGCCCGCGAGCTGCGCCTGCCGCCCCCTCCCGGACTCCTCCGGCTCCGCGCCACCGGGAAGGCCCGCCCTGCCCGCCCTTTCACGCTGCCGTCGGCGCCGCCGCCGCTCCCTGTGTCCAGCCCGCGGCCGCCGCCTCCGCTGTCACCGAGCCCCGCGCCGGGCGCCAGGGCTCCCACTGTCAATCCGCACCCACTTCCCGCCGCGCCCGGCAGAGGGCAGCACACGCCCCCCGCGGTCCCGCCCCGCCCTGCTCCGCCCCTCGAGGGCCTACCGCGGTGCCCGCGGGGAAATGTAGTGCCTCCCGTCGGTTCTGCCAGGCACGCCGGGATTTGTAGTCCCACTCTGCGGGCCCTGGCCTGGGTACGGGGGACTTGGCATTTAACTTGGAACTTATGTCGCACTTCGTTTCTGCCCCTTTTGCAAGTTTTTTTCTCTTCTCAGTCAGTGATGCCACGCACTCCAGCTCCCTATGTACACCCTGTGGCCTCTCTGACCCCAAGGAGAGGCCTGCAGGAGGCTGTCTTGCCTGGAGTCTAGGAAGGATATAGGGTCCCAGATAGTGTGCTGTTGCTATAGAAACTACTGCATGGCAAACCTCAGTTTCCCTCATGTTTGGGAGTGGAATGCCAGACTTGGATCTCGTGCTTTCACCCCTGCACCTGAACATAAGGGACAAGGCTGGGGTCAGGCTGATCAAGGACAGCATGGAAAAATATGTCCAAGGAGCCTCCCTCCCTCCCATTGTGAGTTTTCCAATTATACCCCTCCTCAAGCCTCATCAGTCCTACCTGGCTGGTGACCCCCACCACCATGCTACAGGGAAACATTTTTCAGATCTGCTTCATATCATTCCCCTGTTGGAAGTTACATAGCTCTGAGCTACCCTTCTCTGCTTTCCCCACTTCCTCCTCTGCCCAGTACCACGTAGCCCCAGATCTGTGGGTCTTTGGCGGGTGGCTCCTAAGGAGAACAGGAATGAAATCTAGAGGGAGAAAACATCTCTTGTTCACTTCGTTACAACAAATGGGCTTGATTTCCCGGGGATTCCAAGTAGCTATTGCTCTTGTCCACAATTAAGGGCCAGCCCTTCTTCAAACAGACCCTTGGGGCATAAGGGTCTAGGTGTAAATATGATCAGTTTCACTCAACCCAGACCTTCTGACGCCCTCTTGGAAACAGGTTCTGGTAGCATCACCCTCCTCCCGGAAGGACCCATGATTGCCACGAGTGCACACAGGCATCCAGCATCTCTCAGAAATTCCCAGTGCAAACCTGATCACAGGTGAGGAGCCAAAGGCCTAGGTGTAGGATGCATTGGAAACCCCAGTCACAGTGCTAGAAAACTTGCCTGGGGTGATTCTGGTGGTCATTCGGTCAATTAAGTCAGCGGAGCATTTTGGGTGGTTGGGGTAAGGCCCCTTGACCCATCACAAAGGAATGCCCTGCTTCAATGTCAACTACCACTGTCTTCTCTCTCCAGAGACAAGCTGTGAAGAGACTCCAAGCTCTGAGGGGTAGAGGGACCATTCCCCGAGCCCTACCTCATGCCCCATCCCTCTTAGAATCTCAGTAACCCTCCTCCCCCCTCCCACCCCCGGCCACCACAAACCTCCTAGCCGCTCAGGGAGAACATGGTCCAGTAGAGGCAAATCTACGCCTGACTCCCACTCTTCCCCCCCATTCTTGTGATAGGAGCTGCCTTACAGGCCACAACTGCCCTCTAAAAACAACACGCTGGCCAACATGGAAAAGAACTATTTATTATGAGAGAAAACCCAAAATCTAGAAAAAGAAGGCTGAGTCCAGAGAAGAAGCACACAGAGAAGCTTGGGGTGGGGGATCTAGAGGAAGAAGGGAGCCCAGGCGTCCAGGCACTCAGTCTAGGCGGCAACGGCAAAGCCCACCCTCTTGTTGCCAATGTCGAAGATGGAATAGTAGGACCTGAGGAAGACGTCCCCGAGGATCCACAGGGGCTGGCCACTGCTAGAGGGCAGGTAGGTGGCCTGGACTCTAATGGCACAAATGTCATTTCCCTGCACAGAAGGGTAGCACACATTCACTCATGCATGGACAGAGCCCTGCTCAGCCCTGAGCCCCAGGCCGGGAGCACAAACGCAGAAATGAGTGAGCCAGACGTTCTGCCCTTGAGGGCTCACAGGCCAACTGAGCCCCCAGAGCTGGGGCGGTGGGAGAGAGGTCTGGAATGGGTAAATGCACACTGCGGTAACCATCTATAGTCTCCTCTCCCCAGGTTCCCCTCCGCCTCTCTTTTGCTCCCCATTTGGAGTAGGTCAGCCTGGTTGGCAAAGCCTTGAAGCCAGCCCAACTTGGCTTCCAAACCTAGCTTCACGCTGACTGGCTGTGGAGCCTTGTGTCAGTGTCTTACCCTCTCTGAACCTCCAAGTTTTCACTTGTAAAATAGAAATTAGCGCCTCCCTCCTTGAATGCTGTGACATTCCGGTGGGACGGCGTAGGCAAACAGGGCTGACCCTAGCTAGTGCGCCACAAACAACCCAGTGCCCCTCCACACTGATTAATAATAATAAATAACAGACGACACTCTTCTGTGTCACAGCCTCGTGCCCGAGAAGGGGTTTGGAATCGGTGGGTGGACAACGTGAGGCAGCATTGCCAGGAGCTGGGAAATGGCACGTGGTGAGGAGACCCAACGCTTCCGGCTCCCAGCCCCTCCTCACACCCAGTCACATCCCTGCAGACTTACTCTGAAGAGGTACGAGGAATATGGCAGGGAGAACTGCACACGATTGATGAGGAAGGTCAAGGTGGGCAGGCTCTGGACGTTGTTACAGTCCACCATAAACTGCAGAGAGGAACAGAGCCCAAGGGTCTCATCGTCCACATCAGAGGACCTGCCAGCCCCACCTCAGCCACCCCAGCCCTCCTCCCCCACTCGGCCCCACATTCCAGCTCTCTTGCTCTTACTCCCAAGCCTGGCAAGTGTTGAACGAGTTTCCTTTGAGGGGTGAAGCTCCAAGGAAATTTTGCTGAGTAGTAACCTCCCCATGTCCCCTCAGGACAAGGTGCCAGCCCCCCCTGAATCCGCCTCCGGGCCCACAGCCCCAGGCATCCCAGAGCCCCCCACCTCCAGTGCTTCGGGGCAGCTAGAAGCATGGAGGCCAAGAGTCGGGCTGTTCCTGTGCCGGAGGAGGATCATAAATGCCTCCTGGAGGGTCTTTCTAAAAGAAGGGGGATGTTTCCACCAGACGCACCTGTCCATACTGGTCCGCCTGGGCCCCTGTAGCCTGCAGAAGGTAACTCAGGTACTGCTGGGGAACCGTGAGCAGAGATGTGCCTGTGTCCACGATGGCCTCGCAGCCCTGGGAGCACCAGCCGGTGGCATGGCCACCAATGAGGAACCTGAAGGTGAAGAGACGAACCCCCTCAGCACCCCCAGCTCAGGGCAGCTGGGAAGTGGGCTTTCCCCACCACTGAGGGACAGACAGCTACAGCCGTAGAATCAAGGTGCACCTCAGAAAAGTAGGACTCTGCAGAGATCAATCCAGCCATCCCCCTGACTTACACCATACCAGACTCTACCCAAAGCCACCTAACGGGTCATGGAATGTCTTTCTTACCAGTTCCAAGGAAGGTTCTAGAAACACTGAAAGCCGGGGTCACTGATTCTTTGTGAGTACGTTGAGCACATTGATCCCCCCACATACATCCCAGTTTCTAATCTCTAAGCACATAGTGTTGGACCACAGGGTCTATGTTTGGAATTCTAAGACCTACCCTGTATGTCGTCCCCACCCCACCCCGTTTTTCCAGCAGGCTGAGCTGGACCTTCGATCTCCAGCAGAGGACAGCTGTAGCTTTGTGGGGACAGGCCTCAGAGGTCCTCTATCCCCACCTGCCAGCAGTACCTTCCTGTGTGTGTCCATCTCTGTGTATTTGTGTGTGTGTGTGTGTGTGTGTGTGTGTGTGTGTGTGTGTGACATGAAATGCCTCAAAGCCTGCCCACGGGCCTGGGACCCCACCATAGACTCACTCCTCAAAGCCAATCTGCCAGTAGCGCTCCTGAGTGACGGGGGCCCAGTAGATCGGACCCCTGTGCAGGCTGTGGTCGATCCCCCCGAATATGAGAACTGCTCCTTTCTGAGGGTTCATCTGTCTGCAGAAGGCAAAGAGAAGAGTGAGTCAGGGAATGACTATGGAAAAGATTTCCTACTGAGTAATCACTCTCAGAGGGAAATAGAGGTCCTGCCCTGGCTGCAGGCTGGGGGGGGGGTCCCCGAGGTGGGTCTGTGTCTCCCCCTCAGATTAGGGCTCCCTGACAGCATGGCTGTGTCTCTTCCCTCAGACTGGGGCTCCCTGAGATTGGCTCTGTCTCCCCCATCAGACTCCCCGAAGGCAGGGCTGTGTCTGCCCATCACAATGGGACTCCCCATGCTGTGTCTACCCCTCACACTGTGGAAGCCTGAGGGAAGGGATTTTTGTACCCCTTTTTGACTATAGCTCCAAGCTGAGCCCCTCAGCATTCCCATGCCTCAGGTTCCAGATACCGCTGCCCCACAAGGCCCTGCTTCAGGGAAAGCCACTGGTTGTATAGGTTCCCTGTGCACCCCCCTCCCCCCCACCCCACATGCCCTTCTCCTGTCCCTTCCGCTTCTTGCTGCTTGGTGTCATATGTCAGTGGGAGCCTGACACTGAGCCCCACTTGTCATTTTTCTACTGGGACCGGAGGGAGGTAGGTCCTTGGCAGAGAGGAAGGGAGGATTTTTCGTGTGTGTTTCAGCCTCCCCTGGTGGTTGAACCTGGGTGTGGAATTGGACATTGGCTAAACTCAAAGCTAATTGTAATCAGAGGTAGAGAGTTAAAGTCCGCAACATTAGAAACAGAGTAATGTTGAAAGTCAGAGTCAAGCGATTAAACCCCAGATAGCAGATGCTGACTATCTCCAGAAGGTGGCTGACTAGCTCTGGAGAGCAAAAGAAGGAAAGTCCATTCCAGGCCACTCACCCCTGCCCCCACCCTCTGGCTCCTGGGCCATCGCTTGTGTGTTGTGAGGAAAACAACTTGTCAGGGGCAAATGATGAAGGTAGACCAGAAGGCTCCAGGACGTGGCTAGAACAATAGATCAAAGGAGATGAGGCCACCGATTATTATACAAAAGGAGTGTCCAGGTAGAAAATATTGGCTCAGAAGGCAATGAGCTAATGGAGGCTCTGGGCAGCAGGTAAATCCAAGATGTATCGAGAATCAGCAGCCACACTCAAAGCTAAGTTCACCCAGAAGAGGGAAAGATTCTGACCTGGACTAGAGATGCAAAGAAAAGTCAGAGTGGGCTGGGGACAGACGCAGGGATGGGGGAAAGGGTGTGGAGTGAGGGACAGTTCAGAAGCCCAGGAAGAAGGGGCGCCTGGGTGGCTCAGTCAGTTAGGCGGCCAACTTCGGCTCAGGTCATGATCTCGCGGTCTGTGAGTTCGAGGCCCGCGTCTGGCTCTGTGCGGACAGCTCGGATCCTGGAGCCTCCTTCAGATTCTGCGTCCCCACTCTCTCTCTACCACTCCCCCACTCGTGCTCTGTCTCACTCTGTCTCTCAAAAATCAATGTTAAGAAGCCCGAAGAAAATGCTAGACACGGGAGTAGCTGGAGCCATTCCCTGATGGGAGCCCTCCAAACCCCAAAGCATTGAGCCTCACCCTTTTCCAGGGTCTGGGGGAAAACGGAGGGAGTTGCCTGGGAACTAAGGACACGCAAGCAGTTTCTTACCTGCCCAGGTAGAAGCTGAAGACTGGGCTGGAGAGGACACCTGCCCGCAGCATGCCCTGCAGGGGGGTGGTGGTCCTACCCTCTGCCAGGGAAGGGAAGGCCAGGCCCATGATGCCATCAAACTTTGCATGGAGGAAATAGGGACTTGGCTCAAGCTCACTCAGGCCAAACTGCTGGCTGGGAACCTGGATGCTCTGGACCTGGAGGGGGCGCGGGGGATGAGAGGTGATAAGTGTAACTCTACCCACCTCCCCCAAACCTCCCCCCCGCAGAGGCTCCCTTGAGCATCCCTCCATCGCCTTTGCCCCTTGCCTTCTTGACCGGTCTCACAAGAACCACTTTCACTCTCAAACGGCCTCACTGAGCCCTGCCGCCGCCCCCCCCCC